TACAATTCTGTAATTGTTCTGTATGGAGGAAGAAGATTTTAATGGGCACATGACCGTCACCACAACAGTCTGTCCCTCTGGCCACCAAATACCAACCAATCTTCCCAAAGGTAGAACATACTCACTCCCCAAAGGAAGCAACCAGTAGCATCCAGCTTAAAACCCCAGGATCTCTGGGTGCAGCTCAGCCTTTTCCATGAGGTCTGGATGAGGCTCCTCCTGAGCTATGATGATAAGGCACAATAGACAGTCGTGGAGCCCAGCAGGGTAACTGCCGTGTAGACTCTCACTGTCACACAGAAATGATTAAATCCTGCTAGGCAGAAATTGAAAATACTTCCTGCCCTGATAGTGCAGAATATTTATGATTAGTCCTGGCTGCCTCTGGTTCAGGGCTCTGGAACTATTTCCCCAGTCTACAGTCTTCCCTGGCCTCAGCTTTGCCCTCAGGGAGGTTTCTCCTTGTCCTGAATCTTCCATGGCCATATCTGAAGTGGAATTGGGAAGCATGTCCTCTTTGGGAGCCGTACAGCTTTGGTAGCCCACTTCCTGCTCGTATGAGTGCTGGGCCTGAGACTCGCTTTAAAGCTTGACCAGTTGCAGACTTTTTCAGGCCAAGCTCCTGGTGTTTTATTCCTGATAGCTCCGTGCTCTTTACTTTCTTGTCTGACCTGAGCTCTTTTTCTGTCAACCTAATAGGCATAGGTGGGAAAGCTACATCCTTGATCTGACCTTTGCCATAAGGCTAGGTTCTTTAGTTTACCTGAAAGATCTTATTTTTTTAATTCTTTTAAAAGATTTTATTATTTATTTGACAGAGAGAGAGCAAGAGAGCACAAGCAGAAGGAGCAGCAGAAAAAGAGGGAGAAGCAGGCTCCCCGAGCCGGATGCAGGGCTCGATCCCAGGACCCTGGGTTCATGACCTGAGCCAAAGGCACACAACTGACTGAGCCACCCAGATGCCCCCACCTGAAAAATCTTAAAAGACCCTTGAAAATGCCTTTGAGCAAGATTCTTTTTTTTTTTTTAAGATTTTATTTATTTATTTATCAGAGAGAGAGGGAGAGCGAGCGGGGGAGCAGTGGCAGAGGGAGAAGCAGGCTCCCTGTTGAGCAAGGAGCTCAATGCGGGACTTGATCTCAGGACTCTGGGCAGATGCTTAACCGACTGAGCCACCCAGGCATCCCTTTGAGCAAGATTCTTACCTCCTCTGATCTGAAAACAGAAGGCCCTAATTTCTCCTGTGCTGCCTAATCTGGTCGCACTGGCCACCTATGACTATTGAGCAGAAATGTGGCTGTCTGAATTGAGATGTGCTGTAAGTGTAAAATACACACCAGATTTCAAAGAATCCGTTTAAAAAAAAAGAATGCAAAATATCCATTAAAAATCTTCATGTTGGGGTACCTGGGTGACTCAGTCGTTAAAGCGTCTGCCTTCAGCTCGGGTCATGATCTCAGGGTCCTGGGATCGATCCCCGCATCAGGCTCTCTGCTCAGTGGCGAGTCTGCTTCTCCTTCTCCCTCTGCCTCTGTAATCTCTCTCTCTCAAATAAATAAATAAAATCTTTAAAAAAAATCTTCGTATTGATTATTCAAATTATAGTATTTTGGATATGTTGAGTTAAATATACTATTAAAATTAATGTTATCTGGGGCACCTGGGTGGCTCAGTCAGTTAAGCCTTTGACTCTTGGTTTTGGCTCAGGTCATGATCTCAGGGTCATGAGATTGAGCTCCGCGTCGGGGTCTGTGCTCAGCATAGAGTTTGCTTGAGTTTCTCTCTCGCCTCCCTCTGCCCCTTCCCCCTTCTCTCTCTCTCTCTAAGATAAATAAATAAAATCTTTAAAAAAATGTTATCTGTTTCTTTCTACTTTTTAATCAACTTTATTGAGGTATAATTTACATGATAAAATGCATGAAATGTGAATATACAATTCTATGAGTTTTGGCAAAAATATGTATCAGTGTAGAATAATTCCATCACCCTAGACTATTCCCTTGTGTTCCTCTTTCCAGCCAATTCATAACTTTGTAAGTTCTACTCCCAGCCCTACTCAACCACTGATCTACTTTCTATTTTTACATTTGTCTCTTTTTTTGGTGGTACCAATTTTTAATTTAAATTCAATTAATTACTCGGTATCAGGGAAATACACATCAAAACGACAATGAGATACCACCTCACACTAGTCAGAATGGCTGAAATTAACAAGTCAGGAAATGACAGATGTTGGCAAGAATGCGGAGAAAGGGGAACCCTCTTACACTGTTGGTGGGAATGCAAGCTGGTTGCAGCCACTCTGGAAAACAGAATGGAGTTTCCTCAAAAAGTTAGAAATAGAGCTACCCTACGACCCAGCAATTGCACTACTAGGTATTTACCCCAAAGATACAAATATAGTGATCGAAGGGGCACCTGCACCCCAATGTTTATAGCAGCAATGTCCACAACAGCCAAACTATGGAAAGAGCCCAGATGTCCATCGACAGATGAATGGATAAAGAAGATGTGGTATATATCTACAATGGAATGCTACTCAGCCATCAAAAATCGAAATCTTGCCATTTGCAATGACATAGATGGAACCAGAAGGTAGTATTACATTAAGCAAAATAAGTCAATCAGAGAAAGACAATTATATGATCTCACTGATATGTGCAATTTAAGAAACAATAGAGAGGATCATAGGGAAAGAGAGGAAAAAATAAAACAAAACAAAACCAGAGAGGGAGACAAACCATAAGAGACTCTTAATCATGGGAAACAAACTGAGGGTTGCAGGAGGTGGGGGGGTGTAGGGGGGTGGAGGAATGGGGTAACTAGGTGATGGACATTAAGGAGGGCATGTGATGTAATGAGCACTGGGTGTTATATAAGATTGATGAATTACAGGCCTGTACCTCTGAAACCAATAATACATTATATGTTAATTATTGAATTTAAATAAAAAAATATTAAAAAATAAATTCAATTAATTAACATATAATGTATTATTGGTTTCAGAGGTAGAGTTCAGTGATTCATCAGTCTTATATAATAACCCAGTGCTCATTACATCACATGCCCTCCTTAATGTCCATCACCTAGTTACTCCATCTCCCCACCCCCCTACATTTGTCTTTAGTAAGTTTCATATAAATGGAATCATATAGTATGTATTCTTTTGTGCCTGGTTTCTTTTGATTAATACAATGTTTTTGAGGTTCATCCATGTCATGTGAATCATAGTTCATTCTTTTTTCCTTGTTAAATAGTGTTTTATTGTATGGCTATACCTCAATTTGTTTACCCATTCATTTGTTGGTGGACAGTTGGGTTGTTTCAAGTTTGGGGCTATTGTTATTAAAGCTGCAATGAACATTTATGTAAAAATCTTCATGTGGACATGTTTTCATTTCACCTAGGAGTAGAATTGCTGGGTCTTACCGTCAAGTATATTTAACTTTGTAAGAAATTGCCACTTTCTTTTCTTTTTTATTTTTAAGATTTATTTTATTTTTTTAAGATATCATTTATTTATTTGACAGAGAGAGAGAGAGCACAAGCAGGGGGAGCAGCAGACAGAGGGAGAGGAAGAAGCAGGCTTCCTGCTTCTGTGGGGCTCCATCCCAGGACCCTGAGATCATGACCTGAGCCAAAAATCAAGAGTTGGCAGCTTCACCGACTGAGCCACCCAGGTGCCCCGCCACTTTATTTTCCAAAGTGACTGTACCATCTTATTTTCCAACCAGTAATGTCTATACTTGGTGTTGCCAGTATTTTAAATTTTGGCCATTCTAATGGGTGTGTAATAGTATCTCACTATGGTTTCTTGTTTGTTTTCACTTTTTAATTGAAGTATAGTTAACATAATATTATGTTAGTTTCAGGTGTCAAACATGGTGATTTGACAATTATATACACCATGTAATGCTCACCACCATAAGCGTAATTTTCACCTGCCACCATACAAAGTTATTACAATATTATTGACTATATTCCCTATGCTGTTCTTTTCATTCCCGTGACGTCTTTATTTTATAATTAGAAGTTTGTACCTCTGAATATCTCTTAATGTAACTACTAGAACTTTTAATTTACATATGTGGCTTCCATGTTATTTCTGAGAGACTGAATATACAAACAGTGGCCAGACCATATTTAACAATAGAACTCTGACCCACAACATCTGCAGCAATTGGCCTAGAAAAGTCAGGACTTGGTCAATGAGTCCAACTTCCCTATTAGTTGCCCCCACTTACTCCTCAGAAAACTGGGATAGTTAAGAAATCCCTTCTCCCTTTGTGTTCCAAGAAAAGGATAAATGCAAAAGACCAACTTGCTTTTGCATATTCCAACATAAAACTCACCTCTACCCTTTCTCAACGACTCCCTTGTTTTACAAAACCTCAAAATTTAACCCTCTTCTTTGAGATGTTTCTGGATGGAAGTTCTCCCTATTGCAACAGCCTGGATGAAAGCAATCTCCTTCATTGTCTGAGGCATTTCCTCTTTCACCTATTGCTACCCACTCTCCAACCACTAACTTAGAGCCACATTACTTTCTGTTTGTTATGATAACACCCCACTTATACCAGCTTTCTGAATTATTTAGAATAATGTTAGCAGCTGTAACAAAGAGGCCTCAGAATGCAATATTCCTATCAAAATCCAGGCTGTCTTTAACACAGAATCATTCTAGTCATCAGCATTCTATCCATCATGAAGGAGGAAAGAACATACCTGGGCCAAAAGTTTTCTGAGAAATTGAAGTAGAAGTTCCAGACACCTCATTTGCTCCCAGTACGTTGGTAAGAACCTAATCACACAGCCCCACCTAGCTGCAAAGAGGACTGGGAAATGTAGTCCCTAGTTGGGCAACCAGCCTCAGCTATACCTCTGAGACTAAGAATTGCAGTTCTTCCCTAAGCAATCTATCTATAGGTATGGAAGAAGGAGGGAACAGATTTTTTTAAAAGTCTCATGAAAACATGAAAGGAAAGAGAATCTTTAGGATAATGGTGGTAGGAGACCCTAGGAAGACAGTTTTATACCAGAGGTAGAGGGCAAGAAATCCAGATTGGAACAGGTCAAAGTCTCTGGGAAAGATATCCAAGAAAATGTGTCTAAACACCTAGAGAGGAAATTTAGGCAACTGATGGAAAATGTGCATTATCCATTAGACAACCATTTATTGAGCACGTACGCTATGCCAGGCACTGTTCTAGGTGCCAGAGAATAAAACAGCATATAAGTACCAAAATTATTGCTTCATGGATCTTACAATCTAGTGGAAATTCTAGAGCAGGTGGGGTTGAATTAATAAATATGTAGAAAACTAGCCAATGTTTAAAAAAAATTTTACCCCACCCTGAAGGCAACTACATTCAACTCTTTCAGCCAATTCTTTTAGTATTTCTATTTGTAAATTAATATAGTTACATTGCCACTTCTGAAGTTTTTCCCATTTGCATTACATGTTGACTGCCCAGATGAACAATGAGGATTTTGCCCCTTTTGATCTTTGTCCTCATCACATATATGAACCCTTTCCCCCGTAGCCTCTCACTAAAGCTAAATTACAATGTTGGTTAGATTGACATTCAAATTTTAACATTATTATGATTATATAAACACTATAAAATAGCCAAATCATATAATAAATTGTCATTATTTTAATTTTTCTTTGCAAGCTTTATTTTCCTAGGCTTGGGACACTCTTCCCTCCCACTTTTTGCCTAGTTAACTCTTATTTGTGTTTCAATTCCTAGTGTAAATGTCACATTTCAGGAAAGCCCTCAAGCATTCTTTTCCTTTACCCCACAAAGGTAAACAGGATTACTTAATACCCTCCTTAAAAACACAGGCTTGGAATGGGGGCAGAAGTGCTGTTACTGGTGGCGGGGGGAAAAAATCCTATCATAGAGATGTACTATTTTGGACCCTGCCCTGGCCGCTTACATTTTCATAACTACTTAGTAGTAGTATCAAATGTCTTCCCACAGAAAAAATTAGATGTTACAGTTATTCACATTATAGAATAATGACATCTCAAAAACATCAGTGTGTCTTTAAGTAAATCTGAGCAACTGGTTGTTTATAAGTAATTACATACATAGGGAGAAACCTAAAACTGAAGTGTCCCTAGCCACTGCTGACTTGGTACCCATCTGCAATTTCTTATGAAACAAATCTTTGCTTATTATGACTTAAAAGCCAACATTTTCATGTCTGCATACATTTAATTTGCATGTTACTGGTCACGAAGCTAAAATATGGGATTTCTGCATTTAATAGGAGGGACTTGGCAACGCTCTCTGCTAAACAAATGAATAAATGAATGAAATGTGGTAGTGCCCTGGATTTGAAACTCTGTTTTCTCAGCTCACCCAAACTCACAGAGCCAGATGTATAATCCAGTATGCCAATTAATTAGTTCACAATGAGAAGTACAAATGAGCTCCCTTTGTCCTAAGTAGGGCTTGAGATTTGAATTCAGTTCTTGTTCTTGGACTCCCCACTTTCCAGACTCCATTCAGATCATCCTTCTGTTAACAAGCTCTGTTTTCAGCTGCTGATACTGCAGTTTTCTCAGGTACATTCCAGGCCTAAGAGAAACATGCTATTTCATTGCTGAACTTGGATATTTTCCAAATTTCCTCGCTAAAAGGTTACCCCTAGATTTGATCTTTTGTGTGTGATGCCACCACCTTCATTCTGAGGGTATCTCCATTGTTTTACTATGCTTTATTGTACTTCACGGATACGGCTTTTTTTTTTTTTTTTTTTACAAATTGAAAGTTTGTGGCAACACCATTCGGAGCAAGTCCATTGATGCTGTTTTTCCAAAAGTATTTGCTCACTGGGTATCTCTGTGACAGGTTTTGTAATTCTCGTGGCATTTCAAACATTTTCGTTATTACTATATTTGTTATGATGATCCCTGATGGGTGATTATGACTTGCTGAAAGTTCGGATTACAGCATCTTTTTTTTTTTTTTTTAAGATTTATTTATTTGGGGAGGGGAGGAGCAAAGGGAGAGGGAGAGAATCTCAAGCCCACTTTCCACTGAGCTCTCAGCCGGATGTGGAACTCCATCTAATGACCCTGAGATCATGGCGTGAGCTGAAAGCAAGAGGATGCTTAACTGACAGAGCCACCCAGGCGCCCCCTGAGGACAGCATCTTTTAAGCAATATTTTAAAATTAAAGTATTTTTTTTTAATACTTATTCTTTTTTTTTAAATATTTTATTTATTTATTTGAGAGAGAGAATGAGATAGAGAGCATGAGAGGGGGGAGGGTCAGAGAGAGGCAGACTCCCCGCTGAGCGGGGAGCCCGACGTGGGACTCGATCCCGGGACTCCAGGATCATGACCCGAGCCGAAGGCAATCGCTTAACCAACTGAGCCACCCAGGCGCCCCAGTATCTTCTTTTAGACATAATGCTATTGCATGCTTAATAGACTACAGTATAGCATACACATAATCTTTGCGTGTATTGGGACACCAAAAAATTCATTTGATTCACTTTATTATGATTTTCGCTTTATTGCAGTGCTGCAGCACAAAGGAGCAGTATCTCTAAGGTAAACCTGTACACACCTTCTGCAGGAACCTGCCAAAGCAATCTGGCTGTTTCCAGCTTCTAGGCAGAGGCAGACCAGGTATGTTTTCAGGTATGAGCTTGCCTCTCAATTAGGAACTGGTCCCTCTAACCGAGTGCTGGAGATGACAGCAAAGGGCGTTTGGGGTTTTTCACAGTGCGCCTTATCTAAATGCATACCTCCTTCAGTGGGATAAGACTTTATGCAGCTGAGGGAAAGTCACTGCATGGGTTTCAGGCAGGGCTCCAGAGAAAGGAGCAACCAAAAACAAAAACAAAAAACAAAACCAGCACCAAGAGGAGGTGGGTGGACTCCAAGGGCTGTTCCATCCACTAATTTTGCCCAGATACGACCACAAGTTCTCCTTAGGCTTATGCTTTCAGGATGCTGCGGTCTCTGACCTGGGCAAGGCCTCCTACCACGAATTAATAAGCCGGACATCGGCAGTTTCCTCCTTCACACTTGCACAGCGTGCTAAACTGCAACACGCCAACCTCGGCCACGACGCCAGTCTCCCCGAAGCCCCGTATGCCCTTCCTTTTGCCCATCTCCAAGATGGCGGCCGGTCCGCCGCCGCGTCGCCGCCGC